AAATTAATGGGACAAGGTGTAAAAGTTATGGGTGAGTCATGGGGAAAGGTGGTCGCTTTAGGACCATAATGGGTGAGTTAGTCTTAAATTCATTTATTGCATTTGCTTAGGTGTCTACATAAAATTTAGACTAATTAAACTCACTAATTTACTTAATTCAAATAACTAAACCTACTTTCTTTCATAAAAAAAATTCAGAAATTTTCATTTTTAAAATTTGGAATTTCTTTTTCTCTAAAATTCCAGCAGTTGTTACCTCCTAACCCATATATACTAAAATGTGCATAACTCTTTCTATATATATCCAACTATTATGAAACTTTATAGAGAGCTATTAGACACATAGAAGACCAACTTTTATTCTTTACATTTATCTCAAAAATAAATCTCATATCATCAAATAAATCTCACAAGATTCGAGAAGATTCTTCTCTCGAAATTCTAGTAGAATGCATTTCGAAACAACCCTCACCATAATGGATATAACTCTTAATGTATAGGTCCAAAAATTATACAATTTTATACAGGTCTATTCAACACATAGATGAATAATTTTAATTCTTTAAGGTTTACTCAAAAATCACCCTAAAATCCTCAAATAATTCACACAAAACTCGAGCGTAATATAGTCCTTAAAACACCGATTTTGCATATTTGATTTCTTTAATAATTAAACCATTAATTTTAAGTAGAATAAATTTAATTTAATATAAATCATATATTTTAAGCATTAATTTCTCACGATGAAATGAGAATTATACTTACTCTTAATATACGTATATATAGAATTATTCTAATACATGTCGCGTTACGGATAAGGATTTTTACGGGGTTACACTATCCGAAAAGAATATCTTTGGTGATTGAAAAAAGAGACAAAAATTATGCATTTTCAGGCTTCAAACGACAGTGAGGAGAAAGATCATATGGACGAGAGAGAAAAGATTGAGGATCTTCTCTAGATTTCACAAGTAAAATTGACTCGGTGTAGTTGCATATGGGTATTGGACCTATTTTTTTAATCGAGTGGAATTTAAGATTATTTGTCAATTTAAGTCATGCATAATTGGTAAATTTTAAGGCCAATAGTTATTTTACAATATTTACTAGCAGGTAGAGCCAACAAACTTTTAGGTAGGAAGAATATTCGTCAAGGTAGAGATTGTTAGGCTTATGACTCATGTTTCTTATAATAATGGCCAAGTAAATATAATGGAGTATTAACTAAATATTTCTTGTTCATTAAGGATTCTTTATCTCTAAAATATTCTTTATTCACTAAAGATTTTGACCATTATAAATAGGTGATTAGATGTATGGTTTTAGTGTATGAAAAACGTAAGGATTGAAAGATGTTCTTTGAGTGTGAGAGTGAATGTAAAAAGAGTTTTGAAAATGAATTTTTGGTATAGAAATCACAATCATGTTCTTATACTAATTTTCTCTCACAATAAAGGATTATTCTTAGACTTATAGAGTAAACATGATTTTGTTGAATCATGTTAAATTTTATGTGTCCATTTTTTATTCATCTTTATGAAGATTTGAGAGAAATAAAATTTATTTCTATTTTATATATGAGTACAAGTATGTATATATAGTAGACAAACAATGCTAATTATGGAAAAAAAAAATGCTAAATAAGAAGTAGTTGTAAAGTAGAAAACAAGCAATTTTAAATAAAAAGTAGTAGTAAAGTAGGAAACGAATTAGCTATGCATGGAAAGACCTAAGTGTATGCTCTATCATGCTTCAGTAAGATGGACTATCAAGAGAAAAGATCAATCTTATCTCAAAACAAAGTAAATCGAGTACATAAAAGAGATTTAGTAAAGACATCTATAAGTTGATTAGTGGAGGAGACGTGTGTGACACGGAGTGCACCACATTGGACCTATTCATGAATGAAGTGACTTGTTTCATATGAGAATTAAAGACTAGATTAGTGCGAGAGATTCATAGCAAGAATATTATCACGAGTATAGCACGAGTGTCATTGGTAAGGAAATACCAAATTCATTAAGAAGAGAGCATAACCACCATATTTTTACCACTATGAAGGCTATTGATCGGTATTCAATCTTTGTAGAAGAGTGTGGTATCATGTATTGCTTTTTCCGAGCACCAAAAAATGGGAGGGTAACCCAAATAAATAAGACAATCACTAGTGGAAGTAAAGTCATCTTTATTACTCGCCTAATCAACATTAGAGAATGCATACAATGATAAGGGTGAGTTCGATAGAGTATAATATCGTGATCAAGAGCGCCATAGAGATAGCATAATAGTTTTTTTATCGCGAGACTAGTGTTTAGTAGTGGCTTCATGTATGAATTATGATAGCTTATTTACTATATAAGCTATGTCAAATTATGTAAGAGATAACTATTGAAGTCCACCAATAATTAAGTGAAATTCAGTAGGTTTAGAGAGTGTTATACTAAATTAAAGCATGAACGGAAGAGTATGGCTAAGAGGCATCAAACTTGTTTGTCATAAACCATACGAGTACGACGAACGGATCCTTTATATATGAGTGTTGAGAGAGAAACAAGCTTTTAGAGTTTGAAATAACTTTCATGTTGAGAAAATAAGCTAAGATCCTTGATGGAAAAGCAATGACCAAGAAGCTAGATGAATTTTGTGACTTGAGCGGGATTGTTGCCTATAACAATAATATCATCAATGTAAACCAATAAATACATGATTGTCTTATGTTGATAAAAGATAAACAATAATGTGTCGGTAGTAGAGTTGGTGACCCAAACTGAAGAATAAAGGTGCACAACTCAAAGTACCATGTATAGAAAGGCATGTTCGAGACCATAGATAGCTTTGTAGAGCTTGCATTTATGAGTAGGATGATTAAGATCAACAAGGCCGGATGGTGAGACACGTAGACATCTTTAGAGAGTATGTGTTATAAAAAGACATTGTTGATGTCAAGTTATCGTACTAACTAATCTCTACCGATAGTAAGATTGAGAATGAGATTAGTCATTATTGGTTGATAATTAGGCTAAAGGTGTCATGGTAGTCAATTCTCGAACACTAGTAAAATCCTTTAGCAACCGGACATGCCTTGTACCTATCAATAAAGCCATTATATAAATATTGTCTATGAAAGATTCACTTGTATCCCATAATATTTATTATAGAGGCTGGTGGAACAAGCTCTTAAGTCTAATTTTGGACAAGAGTGACATATTTTCAAACATGACCTTGCTCCGCTTAGGATCTTTTAATGCCCGAGTAGTGGTTATGGGTGGCATATTAATAGGGTGTTATAATTAGGCATTGAGGTTTAGTTTTGTAATGGGTTTGTATATCTTGTGTATAGAATGGGTGATGATAACCAGTGGAGTAGACATAGTAGAGTCATGAGGTTGTGTCATCAAGGTTTTTGCTACTTGGGGCTAGCTTGTTGTAAGTGGTTTTGATGTAGGAGATTTGGTTGTAGAGGCAAGGTTAGTGTTTAGACTATAGTTGATTCGGTTATAGGAATTTTCATAAGGGGGATTGAGGTTAATGATAATGCTACGAGTGATCGAAATAAAGGAGACAAATGGACACTAAGTAGAGGTAATGATAGTTGATGGGTGATCTAAATGGGAATAGAAAGAGACAAATAGAAAGACGAACTCTACAAACTTAATGTGATAGGACGAGTAAAGACGAGATATGATCGGATCAAGAGATAAATAGGCATTTTGGGTAGGGAATAACCTACATAGACATATAAAGAAGACTAGGGATACAATTTATGATGTGAGTATGATCGAAGCCAAGGATAACGAGAGACATCCAAAGCTATAAAGTTTTGAGTAGTTTGGTGACGTATGAAAAATTTTGACATGTGGAGATATATTGGTTAATGTCGGCGTTGGTAAATGGTTGATGAGATAAGTCATAGTGGTGAATGCTTGAGCCAATACAATAGAGGCATAGAAGCATGGGAGAGAAGGGAGAGACTCGTCTTCACAATATAATGGTGATGGCGTTCGGAGTACCCATTATGTTTTGGTATGTGAGGAGGGGAAGTAAAATGAGAGATATCATTAGTTGCAAGAAAAGATGCTAAAGTTATATCCCTCCCACTCCCTCCCCCTATTGTCGAATAAAGAGTTTTGATATTCTTGTTGAAATACTTTTAACTAGGGATCGAAATTTGACAAATATGTCATCAACATAAGACTTTTGTTTTAGAGGATAAAACCATTTAGTGAAGTGACCATAAAAATTGCATAATATGTAAAACCATCGGTAGAGTGAATGGGTGAGGTCCATACATCGGAGAAAGTAGTTTGAATAGAAGATGAGGTGACAAACTTAGAGACGAGAAAATGGTAATTTGTGACTTTTATTGCATTGACACGAATTACAACTTGAATGATAATCGAGTGAATTGATATTTCTAGCTAAAAATTGGAAAGAATGTTGTTGTAAACTCGAAGATGATGGATGCCCTACTCGATGATGCCACACGGACAATGTGGTCTTGACACTTAAGAAGGCTAATAAAGGCAAAGACTTGATAGAGGATTTCGACCACTCATACACACCATCCTTAGTTTGACCTTGATGAAGAGTTACCTCTATGTGAAGATCCTTCATAAGAAATGAATTTGGTAAGAATTCAATAGATGTATCATTAGTTTTAAAAAATTAAGAGATGGAAATCAATTTTTTTTCCTAGTAGGCACACATAGAACATTATTTAATGTGAAGGTGTGAGAGGGAATGTGAAGGGTTTTCACCGGTGTGCGCATGGCTAGTCTTGTTCCATAGCCAATAATGATATGATCAAGGCCCTCATACGGATTGTGGAGAGATAAGTTGCTCGAGTCGGTGGTCATGTGGTGAAAGGCACCACTGTCTAGAAGTCATCTTGAGTTGTTAGGGGTGGTTATGGTAAGATGAGTTCGTGGTTGTCATAATGCTATTGGAGTGGATTGGCACTATGTAGTCAATTATACGATAGTCAATGGTTGAGTATTGGGATGTTACTGGCAAAACACGGGGCATTCTATCATGCTTATGGCCCCGAGTGTGACACCATTGATAGCCATCGAGGTAGGACTAAGCGAGAGGATGACTATAAGATTGGAGAACGCCGGACCCAAAGCTGGTCATGGGGTGCCGACTTTGATCATCGAATTAAAGTCGAGTCGAGTGTAGTTGGAGGTAGTAGGAAAGGGCGATGCACTAGAGAATTGAGTGCACATCGAGAGTTCTTTGTTAATTAATTTTTCATGAAGTTCATCAAATGAGATTGGCATGTCTCGCCCTTGAATAACATCAACAATTGGTTTGTAGTCATCGTCAAGATTGTCAAGGATGATTTTAAGAATATCCTCATGATCGAAAGGTTTGCCAAGACTAGCAAGTTCATCAACCTAGATTTTAATGTATTGCATTAACTTAGAAACTATCTTGGTTCCTTTGGTGGCATTTTTAAGTCGGTCTTTGATTTGTTTGATATGTCCATGAGATGGTCGGGCATATGTGTTGGCAAGAATGCTCCAAGCCTCGGATGAGGTCCGAGACTACGAGATAAGAGGGATGGAAAATGATGAGAGAGAGCCAACAAGAGCATTTAAGATGGATTTTCTTACCCGAACCAAGTTTGGCGTTTAGGATTGGGATTTATAACGACATCGGTGGTGATTATTTTTGGTGAAGCGGGAAGAGAACCATCAACAAATTGGTAAAAATCATATCCAATTAGGAGAGCCTCCATCTATAGTTTTCAAGAAAGGTAATTAATGGCGGTGAGTTTGATAGCGTTGGCCATGTTGATGATGACAATCGGTGCTATGGGTTCTTGAGTATTGGGGATGGTAACTTGATTATTGGTCATGATGGATGGTGGTAGGAATGTCGAAAAAAGAAAAGGTTTAAGGTTTTGTTGTCTCAAGAATGTATTGCTATGATACCATAAAGATTTGAGAGAAAATAATATTTATTTATATTTTGTATATGAGTACAAGTATGTATATATAACATACCAACAATGCTAAATAAGAAACAATGTTAAATAGGAAATGATAGTAAAATAGGAAACAAACAATTCTAAATAGAAAGCAGCAGTAAAGTAGGAAATAGAATTAGCTATGCATGGAAGGATTTAAGTGTATTATTTATCACTTTATTCATCTCTGTTAATTTTTTTGTTTTGAATTAGATTGTTTGTGGTAATGTATTTAATAGGAGTTGTTCAAATTTTCAGCACATGATCAGGAGGGAAAGGAAAAAAGTTGTTTTCTTTTTTGTTCTTTTTACGTGTCAATATTGGTAGGGAAGTCAATCCACGCTGATAGACCTGGAGGGTTCCCGATTCTGAAGATGCGAATCATGACTCATTAGAGGGATCATAGCAATCTAGCAAGCTTGCTGGCTAGGAAGTCGTCGCACTGATTAATTTGTTGCTGCCAAGAGTACTGATTGCTGCCAATTAGTACCAAGATGAGATGGTATGTCAAAAATTATAGAATAACAAGGGCGGCTAGAAATAGGATATCACAAGTAATGCACCAGTTATAGCCAGCTTCCTTAGAGTTGACTCATGCATCGCTAGAATTCTCCAACCCGAAGTTCTTGGCAATGCAATACCAAGCTAATTATGCCATAGTTACTGTTAACCTGGTTTCTCCAATTAATTAACCTCATCTTTTGGTTCTTTTTTTTTTTTTTTTCACTTTGGATCCACTTGGGCCACCTAATAATTTAGAGAAATAAATTAAATCTCATCTAATAATTTAGAGAAATAAAGTCCTTTAGGTGTTTATACAAATTACCTGAATATGATAACAGTAGTAGTATGTGCTCTTTTTTTTTTTTTTGGTCACTCTCACATTGACTTAATGCATCAACACATTTAGAGAAATAAATTCCTTCCAACACAAGAAGTCAAGAGAAAAAGTAAACCTCTTTAATCACACAAAAACATCCCTTCCAGCAAGTATATGTATTCTACTGTATGAATGAATGCGCATGCGAACGCAAATGCGTTTACACGTACTATATAATTTCTACGGTTGATCTTACTTTATAACGTTAAACACGAGTTCACGACAATGATTTAATCAGGAGCCTCGATTGAAACGAGTACGGGCCCAGTTAATTCCTTGTAGGCTATATCGAGTACATGAATATGACAGCCGATTTCAGCATGACCATATAATTAATGCACCAAACTATTCATGAAATAAATTCCCTTATAAATAATGGCCTGCAAGTCTTCGAACTGAGGTCTTTTCTATGCACAGGAAGGCAATCATACATACCAGTCGAGCAAAAAAGTAGCAACAGTGAACCTGAGTTGGAGAATTATGAGTTGCCTTGCAAAATTAATACTATTTTAATCAAATGTGCATCAAAAGTGAATTGAAAGGGTATTACACAGGTGGTAGTAATTAGCAAATCCTTTGGTTTATTTGACAGGTAGATTTGGGTAATAATGAAATTCGAAGAGGTTGTAAACTTCTCTGTGTCTATTGCAGGGAAGTTTAATTAGCATTATAGTTAAATGGGCAGACATAAAATGTTAAACCTTTTCTCTCATACAAAGAGAAAAGTCATCCCGAAAGCAAAAGATTAAAAAAAAAAAAAGCATGAAGCTTTCAAGCGCGGTTCTTGTACTGGCGTTTCTTTTATTTATTAGCAATGGCTTCTGCTTCATCATCTCCCAGAGTCATCATCATTGGAGCTGGAATGTCAGGTTTGTACTGCGCTCTGTTTGTATGAAACTAGTGGACAACTGGATATCAACATCTATATTTTTATTTCATGGTAGATTTGTCATTTGTATGCGCGAAAGAAACAAGTTTCTGTCCATAGTTTTTTTTTTTTTTTTTTTTCTTTTTTGAAGCATAACTTGATAGTTGTTCATGATCCAAGTGATTATACATATATACTGCAGGAATTTTAGCAGCAAAGACCCTGCATGATTCTGGAATTCAAGATATACTGATTTTAGAAGCAAACAGCAAGATTGGTGGTCGGATTCATAGAGCTCAATTTGGAGGACACACTGTCGAGTTGGGGGCAAATTGGGTTATTGGTGGAGGTCCTAGGTCTAATCGCTTGTATGAAATTGCTAACAAACTCAAGCTTAAGACCTACTTATCAGATTTTGGAAATATCTCAGCAAACATCTACAAACAAGAGTAAAGTCCTTTCTTGTTAGTTATTTTCAGTTTCCTTTCGAAATGCAATAACCATATAACTAGCTATTGTATAATCCACCATATATTGTTTCTTTCTATCTCCTCCACAGAGGTGGATTATACCCTAAGCGTATAGTCAGTGCGGCATTAGAAGTTGCTGAAGCAAGGGATCAATTCTGCTCAAACTTTTCTACTAGACTATCTTCACCGGGACACAATCATGATGATGTGTCGATATTGGTATCGCAGCGCCTATTCAAGCAGTAAGGAAACATAAATCTCTCGTTATAGGAATGAGCTTCCAGACCTTGATCAACTGTATAAAGATATATGTTAACGGAGAACTTGGTACGCAGGGTGCCGACGACTCCACTTGAAATGGTTATAGACTATTTCTACAACGATTACGAAGATGCAGAACCTCCAAGAGTGACGAGTTTATTGAACACAATTCCTCGATATGAGTTTTTAGACTTTGGGGACCAAACTTATTTCTTGGCTGACTCAAGAGGCTTTGAGAGTATAGTTCTTTACATTGCCAAGCAGTTTCTCTCGCACAAACATGAAGCAATAAGGGATCAGAGGCTCAAGTTAAACAAGGTAACATCATGCGGTGCCATTGGTCTAGAATCTTGAATGAAATTCTTTTGAGGAAGTACTGAACTAGTTTTTTTTTTTTTTTTTTTTTTTTTTTTTGTAAAATAAGGCTATGCTGTCCGTCCATCTCGGTTACCACAAAAATGATGGACGGAGATAATGGACAGGTCTTAAAGTCATGGACAGCAGTCTGCATAAATAGCATGCACAGCTGCTTGGCAAATAAAAATTAAAATTTGCCAAACCCAACATTACAATATCATGCCTGTTATCCGCCGATTTGTTTTAATTAACAGAATCAGTATATATATATATATATATATTTCCTTCTCGAAAACCAAGGTCCGTTGGTCACAGGCCATTAATCATAGTAATTAGTAATCCATGTTCATGCAAGATTACAGGTGGTTAGAGAGATCAATTATTCTAAGACTGGAGTTCGAGTTAAAACTGAAGATGGTTATATGTACCAAGCCAAATATGTGATTGTCTCTGTGAGCGTTGGGGTACTTCAAAGTGACCTCATTGTGTTCAAGCCACACTTACCTGTGAGTTCTTGATTCCATACTTCCCTTTCCTCCCCCATTCTTTATCATTCATTGAACAGGATCTCTTAAACGTGAAGCAGCAATGGAAAACACTGGCAATATATGATTTTGATATGGCTGTATACACCAAGATATTCCTGAAATTCCCTAGCAAGTTTTGGCCCTCTGGACCCGGCACACAATTCTTCCTCTACGCCCACGAAAAACGCGGATACTACCCAATATGGCAGGTGTATATTCAAACAACTAAGTTGGTAGCATGAGTTCTTGCTGATTACTAATTGCCTATGAACCAGTATAGCCTGTCACTTAACTTATGACTTCCCATGCAACTACAGCACTTGGAGACTGAAATGCCAGGATCGAACATTTTATTTGTTACGGTAACAGATGAAGAAGCAAAGAGGATAGAGCAGCAACCGGATATTAAAATCCAAGAGGAAATCATGGATGTGCTGAAAAAAATGTTCGGTAACAACATCCCACAACCAGAAGACATTCTTATACCCAGATGGTGGTCCAACAGATTCTTCAAGGGTAGCTTCTCAAATTGGCCTATTGGATATAGTCAACGAAGACACATGCAACTGAAGGTTAGAAAAGCAAAAGCTGTAGTACTACTTCAAATTTGACTTGGCTGATTTTGGTGTGAATGCTATAAAATCTCAGTTGATCACAGATAGAGGCAGCAAGCAAAATCCTGTAGTGAAAATCATATTTTGTTTCCAGAGTAAAATAACTCATCATAACAGAGTAATCACAGAACAATAATCAGAATTTCTTTGTGAAATGTAGGAACCTGTTGGTCCAATTTATTTTAGTGGGGAGCACACCTATTCTAGATACTTGGGATATGCTGATGCTGCATATTTTGCAGGTTCTCTCCCTCTCTCTTGCATACTAGACTACTGCTTGAAAACACACACGAACTAACTCGTAGATGATTGGGATGTACTGTTAAGAAGATTAAAGTCTCATACTTGCTGATGAAATCGTGCTAAATCATGTAAAAAACAGGTATTGATACTGCAAATCTTTTAATCAAATGCCTTAAACATGAAAAACATTGCAATGGCCATGATTAGCATTCAACGATAGATGGAGTACAGAATGAAGATGCTTATGATCCAGTCTTATGAAGGTTAGACTCACTCTCTGGACAATTCCATTAATTCGTGCAAAAATATGCTTGATTTTAACGAATGGATGTTTCTGTTGCTGTAAGCAGGTGGAAATTCAGATGTCATGGACTGCCAAATTAGAGCATCAGGAGATTATCCTCTGTCTGAATTTGGAATATTGACGTATTGTTTATTTTGTACCAACGAGTACTATATTGAATTTCATCCATTGAAACAATGTGAAGTTAATGATGAGTTTCAATAATCATGTCTTGCTGCAATTACAATATCTCTTAATTTTTTATGATATAAATATTCTATAAATACATTAACTTTTAAATTTTTCTGAATTCAATATGTGAACATTAATTTTTTTTTTCCCCCGTTTGAATACATGTTTTTTTTAAAAAAAAAAATTGTCAACCAATTATTTTTTTAATTTTTTAATCTTTTTTTCAATCGAGTATATGAATTGTTTTTTTTTTTTTTCATTTGAGTATACCGATTATTTCAAAATTATCAATTAAGTATTTTCGATAATTTCTTCATAATTGATAAAGTATTCATTACTCCTAGAATACCAACTTATAGATTCACCATCTTTTCGTTGGAGGAAACTTTTTCCTTAATTTATTTTATCATTTCAAAATTTGAAAAAAAAAATAAATAATATTTTTTAGTTATAAAATTCTAATCTAAACTTAGTTATGTTTATATGTAAAAATTGAAAGAAAACACAAAAATAAATTTTTTTTTCAGTAAGAAGGTTCATTGATTGTGAATATTTGGAGGGTTTCCCCAACAAAAGAGGGGGAAAATTATAATTTTGTATTTTAAAGGATAATGAATACATGATCAATTAACAAAAAATAATAACAATAATGAAAATACTTGATTGATAATTAAAAAAAAATTAGTATACTCAAAAAGAAAAAAAAATTAAAGTCTATATATTCTATTGATAAAAAGGATAGCAAAATTATAATTTGATATTCTAAGGTACTAGCTATATCATCTTTTAATTAAGAAATTAATAGAAATATTTAATTGAAAGTTTTGAAAATTTTAATATATTTAAATAAAAAAATAAAACTCATACATTCCATTGAAAAATAATTAAAAATTACTGTATTTTTTAGTGTAATTATCCAAATTTAATATATAGACACACATTTGAGGAGACAGCGGAAGCACTTCAACTGCATCAGATTAGGGAAAATTATTGATAACATTTTCAAGTGATGTTTTCGCTATGCATAATCCAATCTGTTTGAAAGATCAACATGTTCTGTAGCTGTTGACAAGAATCGGTAAACAGTGACTCACAATGGCTCATTGGTTGATAAAAGTTTATGAGATTATGATTCAAGTCCCTCTCCTTCATCTGTGTGGACCACCAGCTCAGGTGATGGGTTCTGTTTTAATTTACAATCCTACAAAATAAATAAATAACTCTTCTTAGCTTCTTGTCCTGTTAGATGTAAATCAATCGGGTGTACTTGTACAAGTAAACTAAGCTCACCCAATGTAGAACATTTTGGCTTACTGGTTCGGTTCATTTCGGCCAAGTGGTGGCGCTGTGGGCTTTGCCTTGTTAAGCATGAAGTTCATTACCCTTTGTGAAAAAAAAAAGTGATTTTTGTGACGTGATAAAAATGAAAGCCGCAACAACCATAAAAATCACAGTAAGTCTTTAGTGAAGATAATGAGAAGCAGTTCGTACTCCAAAATCCAAAACCACCTGTACTAGTGGAGAGGAAATAACAAAAGAATAATGTTGTCAGTTAAGACCACCCCGCCAAAATGCTAAAAATAACGACCACTTCAGCGACAATTCCACCTCCACACTTATCTCCTCCATCAACAAAAACAACCACCACCACACAGACAAATCTCCTTAACCCCATAAACCGCCGCCACCTCCTCACTGGACTCCATATCTCGTTCTCCACACTGCATTTATCCATACCAGTCGCTGATGCCCGTGGCCTCTTCCAAATGCCTCCTCCCCGCCTCACCAACCAGTAACTCCATCAACCCATTTTCTGTTTCTTTCATTCTTTTTTATTTTATAGTCTATTGATCAGAAATTTAAAGGAACCTGAAAGGAAATTTTAGTTTACTTGTCTCCTGTATTAAGTAGCAAGTAGTCTAGGCTTAGTTAGACCCAAGAATTATTGTCAAGTCTAAAACTTATTCTTGCACTTGGCTATTAATGAGTGGCTGTTGAACTTATTCAACTTCAATAAAGCTTCATAGTCGTCTAGAGGCACTGCTAAATTATGGGTTTAGCTTTCATTTTTGTTTGAATTTGTGGTTAAATTGTGTTGTGGGTGTATGAAGGTACTATTTGGTGAGAGCTGGGGAGTCTGAATTTGAGAGCCTGGGGATTATCAACACGAATCCGGTAGCAAAAACATCAGTTGATAGTGGGTTATCAGAGAAAGGGAAGAAGCAGGCTGTTAAGGCTGCTTTACAGTTGAAAGAAATGGGAGCTTGTGATGCAGGCTGTTGGATTTGGCCTTCCATTACACAAAGGGCTTACCAAGCTGCAGAGATCATTGCTGCTGTTAATAGGATTAGTAGGAGGTATGCATAATAAAATTGATTGTATTTGGCAAACTGAGAACTAACAAGGAAGGAATCTGGTGTTATAAGGCTCCTTGTTCTTACCCAAATTAGCGTCCTTGTTCTTTTGGGTAAGATCAAGATACTTGCAGGAAATAAAATAAAATAAAATAGAATGAATTTTTAGATTTAAATGCGGTAGGCTACTCCATTCTGAATTTTGAGAGCAACCTCGGATAGTGAACTTGAGGCGGAGTTTGACTAAAAAAAGGGGCTCCAATTTCTTTGCCACTGGAAGGAATTAAACGTAATCTCATATTCTCATTGTTGAGTTTCCATTTGAAATTTAGAGGCTTTCTTTTTAAAAGGATAGTGTAAATGATATTGATATTTGATTCATTCAAAGAAATGTTGGTGTTTTCAGAATCTATTGAGATAAATTAATTGCTACTATTGCTTCAATAGTCTTCCACTGTTGTAGTTATATAGTTCCAGAGTACAGCTTCCTGGATGCCCGTGGATTAGGAGCTTATGAAGGCAAGAATTTGGAAGCTGTTTCAGAAGTAAGATCTTCCTATCATATAGTTCTTCTTGGTTTGAACATGTTTTCCTTCAAGACAATACTAGGAAATATGTATGTGTGATGGGCCATTAGTTTATTTCTTTCTGCTTCTCTTTCCTTTTACTGACATATGGTAAAATTTGATTAAGTTGTCTTGGTGGGATCCATAAATTGTCAGTCTTTTGTGTGTGTGTTGGGGGTGGTGGGGGGCGTGGATTGAGAACCTATCAAGCCATCTGCAGTCTATATGAGCTCTCTCTGCTCAAGTCTAATACTAAACATTATATTAATGACATATCACATATAACTAGGTTCATGAATGTAATGACTACATTCATATTTATTTATTCATACTTAACCATAATTAAGTTTACTTTCCAACAAAGTCAACTCATCTAAGCCTCAGTCCCAGTGTCATAAAAGATCCATTCTTTCTCATTCACTCTCTGCGCTGCAATTAACCATGTGCAAATCTATTTTTGAGAACTTTTTGTGAATAGGATGTTAATTCTACAGTTGAGGTCTTGTGTATGGTTCAGGTATATGCATCAGATACTATTTCTCCAAGAAACAAGCCCCCTCCCATAGACGATGGAACCCCAAATGAGAGTGTTGCAGACGTGTTTGTCCGCGTTACACAGCTGATGTCCATTCTTGAGACCCAGTACTCTGAGGAAACGATCATCATTGTATCTCCAGATTCTGACAATTTAACAATCCTCCAAGCTGGTTTAGTCGGTCTTGACCTGCGAAGGTAACTCTTTAGCTGCTAGTGTATAGTCTAAAGTAGATTTACAACTAGCGTGAATACGTCAAAGTAGACAATCCTGAGCCAGTATGTGATAATTTGCCTTAAATTCTTGTTGCAGGCATAGAGATCTTTCTTTTGCCCCTGGGGAAGTCAGATTTGTTGATATCAACAGCATACCAACTTACAAACAACCTGCTTCAGCCATATATAAATGTAGAAATCCACCAATCTGTACCTGAAATGTCTCTGTTCGATTTATACAAAAAATTAAGACAAACTTAATTGTTTGACCACTCTGTATCTGAAGTTCATCGTTACTGTAGCTTATATAATCCCAATCATGTATTTGCCAATATATCACAGCATAAATTGAAAACATTGGTCTTTGTACTTCGCTAACTTGGCTGAGTTATATAGCAAGATGAAAATATGGACGATTTGTGCTTCAAGCTGTCATGACCTGGATATTCTACCGTTGCTTCACATTATCTAATCTGCCAATCCATTTGAGCATCATATACGTAAATTTCAAATTAAGGATTTCCTCTGAGCAGCCACTGGAAAGGAAAATAATAATAATAATAATTGATAACATGCATGCTCTCTTTGTTCAGCAGAAGTCAGATTTGTACACAATACTTTCCGAATTCCATGAAAATGAGCAACATCCTCTGGGTTGTATTATTATAAGAAATTGAAAGAAGACGTGAAATATGGAGCAGGATTTTGAGACCTTTCTCCATAATCTGTGCATTAAATAATCTAATATCTTGAATTCTAGTCCAAGTTCTATATATTTGATTATCAACTGGTTGCTAGTTGTGAATTTTGCACTGTAATTAGGTCTGAAATGTGAGGCAGCCATAACGATTTCAGACAAATTTCTGGAGTAACTAAACTAAATTATGACGAGTCCAGGAACCTACTCTTATAATAAATTGACAAAATCAAAAATGTTCTCTTACTACTACTTAATGAGAAATTGAATACCAATTTAGACAATTACGATTTCATATGGACAATACCCTTTCGATAATTGGGTTCCCTGACCCGTGTAAGAAAGAAAAGCATTTCATTCCCAAGTCTTCGATTCTGAAATCAACAGATCGTTAGTATTTGAAATTCCAAAGACATCCTTTTTTGTGCGTTCTTTTCTGTCAAAAAATTTGTAACAGAAGAATAAAAAGAGATTGGATAGTGATTTGCAAAGCAACTTAACTTCCGGACTCCAGTTCCTATAAATTAACTCTACTACATAGCAAACTTAACAATATATAGTTTAAAAAAGAACTTACTTTTATTGACGAGAAAGTGCTTACAAACTAAGACTCTTCCTCTAAATATGATGATCTCGTAAAAATTCAATTCTTAAGAATCACATACACGAGTTGTAGACACAAGATGGAACAAAAAAACCAAATTATCAGCATACTTTGATTACCGAATATAAATTATTGTCTATAATTTACTCGTCTAATAAGTTTTAAGTGTATTGAAACTTAGATAGTGGTATGAGAGCTTCTTATTGTTTGCAATTAAAAGCCAAACTATCAACGTACTTTGATTACTACATACAAATTATTATTTATAATTTACTCGTCTAATAAGTTTCAAGTTTCAAAGTATTGAAACTTGGATAGTGGTATGAGAGCCGCTTATTGTTTGCAAGTTTTTTTGAGTTTGATTGTTTGTGGTTCATTCTTTCTTCTCTTGCTCCAGCTTATATTTATAGACTTCTAATCCCTCCATGATCTTTTATAGTGCTCTATATTTCCTTACAACTATCCACACAACCTTTTAATGCTCAAAGTTCATCACCAACTACTCACACGACTTTGCAATGCTCCAAGTTTATTTATAATTGTTGCGATTGTGCTTCATGTTCTTTTAAAATTGTTACTATCGTGTTCCATTTTTTTTTTTTTTTGTTAGAGAAGTTGTACATCGTGTTTATTTTCCTATAACTATTTTACTTAATCAAAGAGTTCATGATTAGCAAGTTTCTTGGACCAAGCAAATCACCCAATAAATTAATTAACATGCTTCTTATGTGAAATTAAATTATTAGAATTTTAGACCTAGTTTGAATTTTAAGTATAATATCTACTCCTTTTTTTTTCATACGTTAAAGTCATTATCATGTGTGGAAAGAAATTATTCTTTCTCTTAATGATTAACTTTCAATTTCCAAGGTGTAACATATATTTCTAACTTTATCCATTATAAACACATATTTTCACCATTTTAGACTTACTCATTACAAATCTATATAAATAAACAAAATCTATATATAGCCATGCATCCATTTTTCTTAAAATGTAATGTTTACACTAATATATATATCATGTGGCCATTTTATCTTTAAATGGAATATGTTTTGAATCATGTACAAGCTATACAACATTCCTATTTAAACCGTGTGAAGTAAATTCTAACCTTGTGCCTCCTTGCTTTTTTGAACGAGAAGTCTTTTGAAAAAAAAGCACACACCACTCGTGTGATAACCGCCATCAAACCGTATGAAAAATAAACTAGCTATGTAACTCTTTTTTCTTTGAAAGATATATTTCAATTAACATATATACACAATTGTGTGGAATTGTTCTCCAAACCATGTGGATTAATTCTGCCCATGTCTCTCATTTTGTTAAACACACACGGGCGTGTTTCAAAGCAAACCATGTGAATCAATTCTGCTTGTGTCTCTTCTTTTTGCCAATTCATGCACGAGCATGTGACTTCTTAAAACAATCCGTGTCTACCCCCTATTGCCCATGTAACCTCTTGAGCAAAATCACGTATGGACGTGTTAGTTTGTTCTTCAAATTGTGTATATCCCTTTCTATCCATGTGATTTCTTAAGATAAAACACACACGGACGTGCCAAATTATTCTTTGAGCCGTGTGTACGCCTTTCTGCCCATGTGTCTCATTTGTTCAACTTGGTTTTTCACATTGTTTTTGTTCGGTCTTACATGTGTTTAGACTTGTATCTATTTTGGTTTGGATTTACTCATTTAAATTTGTTAATTCCTTCTTGTAAACCCATGATTATTATTTCATTTCGGTATAAGCAAGCTATATAAAAAAGGGGATAAGATTTACATGAATTAGGTATTAAGTATGTTGCTTTTTAAATTATTCCTTTTGAATTATACTAAATTGGGATTACGTTTTATAAAGACTACTATGGAGAGGACTAGGTCAAGTGATCATAAAGGATGTGTCGAGGCTGAAGCATCATCCAAACCTTCACGGTCTCTTAGTAGGACTAGCTTTAGAGAAAAAAAGACCTCGATATGATGACGTCAATTGACATCATGGTTGGGTTTTTGTGCTATGCAACACATTATAGAGATGATGGTCGAGGGAATTTAGTAAAAATTTTAAACTATGGTAGGGTTAGTGTCTGCTAATCAAGGATTGGGTGGAGCAAGTACTTCTATGGTTGGTACTCAATCGAGATTAGTAGGGTGTTACCTATATGTGATAGAATTCTTGAAATTGAAGCCATCAACTTATTCGAGTGATAGGGATAATGAGGACCCGATGCACTTCATTGATGGGATAGAAAAGAGGTTGGTAGTGCTTCAATGTTTTGAGGAAAGAAAGGTGGAACTGGCAGCATTCATGCTTGAGGGAAGCGTCGATGAATGGTGTAAACGAGACAAAAAGCATGATTAGTCCCGAAGATAGTTTAAGAAAGCTTTTCCGGAGAAGTAATTACATGAAAGCATTAAGGAAGAAAGAGCCAAGGAATTTGAAAGGTTAGTGCAAACTTTCGACATGACGGTGATAAAATATGAGAGGTGGTTTGCCAAGCTAAGTCAATACGCTTCGAAATAATATCGATTGAGGAAAAAAGAGTGAAAAAATTTATGAATGGGCTAATAGATTCGCTTTTTATGATAGCATTTCCCTAAAGGTTTCAAAGTTATTCAAAAGCCATTAATTGTGCTCGTAAGCTTGAAATGAGATGAATGGAGAGTAGGATAGCCAAGGAGCAAAAGAAAAAGGCCAAGAGTGATGCCTCATCATCCGATGGGCATAAAGGCAATAGTAGTGGGTCTAGTCAAGATGCGAGTATGTAGAGTTACTTTAGCCCTCAAAAGAGATATACTTGGATAAAGTAGCCATGGTGGATCCCGAATGAGTATGAGCCAAGGATCATCTCACTCGATCCATCGAGATTTTAGAAGACGATACTCAATCCGTTAGGTATTTGTCAATACCCATTTAGGTATATGCTCTCGGAGAACGGGAGCATACTTTTTTTGCCACCAATAGGGTCATCCGATCCAAGATTATCCAAGATATAAGATGACATAGGCTACTACTTTAGGAGGGGTATAGGCTCCTCATATGGCCAACCCATCCCCAAGTCGGTATGATGGTAGATTTGATAACCGATCCGGTCGAGCGTTTGGTGATAAAATACAATAAGGATAGGGATAAGTTGGTAGAGGTCATTGAAGCTCGGAGGGTCGTGGTCAAACAAGTATTGGTAGTGGACAAGCTCGGGTTTCTACCATCACCCATCGGGATGCTCAAGCATCCAATGCTCGTGGTATCAAGTATTCTCCAAGTGTTTTCATATGATGCAAAAAGTGTTGTTTGACTCTAGGGTGACCCATTCATTTGTGTCTTCATATTTTGCTAAAAGATTTGATGTAAGTCCATATATGTTAAAGTAGTCATTAATGGTATCAACACTTGTGAAAGAATGTATGATAACTAATGTGGTGTTTAAAAACTATAATAAATGAGTGATGGGTAGGAATTTGATTATGGATTTGATATTATTAGAGATGAATGATTTTGATGTAATCTTAGGAATGGATTGGTTAGTAAATCATCATGCTTCATTAGATCGTTATAATAAGATAGAGTATTTTAGAGATTTAGGAGAAAAAGGATTTTTTTTTCAAAGAGAGCAGAATGTAGCCCCTTCTACCCAAATATCCGCCATCAAGGCAAGTAAGATGATGAGAAAGGGTTGTATAGTCTATTTGATTTATATAAAGAAGACTCGATGATAATGTGGTTAGTTTAGACCAAGTCACAATCGTTATGAAGTTTTCTCGATGTATTTTTAGATGAATTACCTAGATTACCTCTAGATAGAGAAATAGAGTTTGGTATTGAATTGCTTTCGAGCATCAAACCTATCGTTATACCTTTCTATCGGATGGCGTCTCGCTGAATTGAAGGAGTTGGAGGTTCGGTTATAAGACTTATT